ATGCATGGGAGAAGCATCGGATGCTGCAAGGAGTGACAACTCCACCTTTGCCACAGCAAAGTCGACGAAGCCATGGTGTGACCTCACTGCCAGGGCAAGAGGGGGGTGGAGGGGGCTATTACTGGTCAGCTGCGGACCTGTGATGAGGGTCTCCCACCATTTTGAATCTGTATTAAAGTTAGTCAAAAGGTGTGTTTCTTTTTTCGTATACACGTCCCCATTCATTGTGCTTCAGTAACCAGTTCGAAGTTATCGTTGGGTTTGGGGGATCTGGAACACTACCCTCAATGATTTCGCATACAGTGCGCTCTTTTGTCGTAGACACTGGGGTGTTTGGACGAACAGATCCCTGGTCAACAATCTGCCACATGCTCACCTCAAACCACGACATCTTGGACTACACAACCACGGTGGTGGTGTACGCGACCGCGGTCAACGGTTGCCAACAGATCGAATGTCGCCAGATTGCGAAGGACGCTCCTGGGCTGTGTGCCTTTGGATATGAATTCAGGTCTTGTGGCAAACCTGGGTGCAATCCAGTTCCGGCAGACCTCCGCGTTTTCAATCAAAAGGAGAGGGTCAGCGTTCGATGCTTGAAGTGCGGTTGGAGGTCAGCATGGGCAAGGACCGACAAGGACAATAAGCACTTCAAGAGAGTTAACGCACTCGCTGCGCCTCAATTATTTTGGCACCATTTCCCCCCTTCTGCTGACCTGCAAACTTCTTCATGGACCTTACGGAGCGCCAGAACGCCATATCCGCTCAATCAGCTCAAATATCCAGGAAGAGGGGAGGAGAGTCGCAAAGAAGAAAGACAATTCAAAAGTCCAAGAGCCGTCAACAGGATGCGCAGATGCTGGACCTGACAGGATCTCATCATTCCCTCGCCATGGACGTTGATAAATGACCAGAAGGGTATTGGAGGGTGTGCTTCTCAAATCGTCGGCAGTCGGCCTTGGTGCATCCCTGTCATAGCATGTGCCTCCCCCGGGAGATGAATCTGACTTATGTTGAATATATGCTAGGACCCTTTGTACTGTATCAGGCAGCGTATCAACCCATTTATCTTTTTGTGTAGGTCATAGCACACATATCGTGTACCTTTTTGTGTGATAAAGTTTTCCATTCTGTCTCCTTTGTGCTCACCCCTTTCCTCCACATTAGCAACCTGTAGCAATTGGCGGAAATAATTTGAGTTTAGAAGATATTTTCAACTAGATGTTGATGCCCAATGTAAGACAACAGATCATAGCGAAGGCGGTGTTTCATGGCTTCGCACCACGACTCATGGAGAAGACTGTAAAATTAGCTATGAGACACGACGCCAATAGAATTGAACGTCCAATGACAACTGTTGTTAACATCTTGATCAGCAGGAAATGCGAAGTGTTTTACGAATATGTCACCTTTATGTATTAGCTGGGTCGATCGGTTGCCCGTGAAGGTCAATTAGTTTACGTGAAATCATATGCCAAACAAACAAGGTGTCGGGGACTAGGGCCGTTACGATGGAATAGTATACAAAATGACACATGCCTGCAGTGTGTGCAAAACAATTAACTACGCATGATATGGACCATGTTTGGTCATCTGGCATTTTGAATATCTCACCGATCCTTGTATTAGTATGCAGACTCCGGTATCAGGAGGGGCCATCTGACAGAGCTAAATAAACGCTTGATAAATCGGGTTGTTGGGTTAGAATATTCTGCATCAGCCCTTTGAAAGCGATTCAATTCCTCAGCAACAGACTAAAAATAGTGTCAAGCTATATGTTTTGCGCAATGTTAATTTCTACTCATCTTCCAGTTCTCTTTAGTAGCGAGGATCAATATCAGGATGTTACTTCAATTCCAGTGAAAATACAACATGATGAGGCAGGTTTTCATATGGAAGATATTGGACTTTTGTTGCAGCAGTCATATCACCCGATCTTAGCATGCTCTTAGTTTGTACTGTAGTGTTACAATTACTCCAATTGGTGGGTTGGGCAAAAACCAATACGGGATCGGGAGCTCTGCATCTGTTCCCTGTCGACCTTACACTCCTCCTGCTGCGCGGATATGGTGCAATCCAATGCAGACAGAATTCGTCTGTAGTGCAGCTCGCGTCTTCACTTGTTTCAACCAGCGTAAGGTGTATCAATTTCTGTGTGAAGATGGTTAGGGTGAAAGGTCACAAAAAAACACTTACTGAGTGTTCTTTGCAAGTTTGATGATGTCTGAACCATCAATCGACTTCTTGATTCCTGGTGATCCAAATAGGTTCGAAGATGTCAGCACATCATTATGGAGTTGATTTAGTATGAGATATGAAGTAAAGTACCTACAGTGGATCCTGCAATGCACACCCATTTTCCTTGTCGATGCTGTGCACATTGTGGGAAATGGGGCAAGCCTTGTTGGGAGGCTGTTGTAAGTACATACCAAATGGCGGGGTAAGCACTCAATGGGCTGGGTTTTGATTCTCGGTGTGTTGGTGATGGCTAACTATGGACGATCAGTATGGAAACCAAAGAAAAAACCAGATGTACCTTTCTGTTCAGTCGGGATAGGTGGAAAAACGACGCATACATCTGGTTTTCTTGATGTCATATTAGTTGTCATGGCATTCACCTGACTCCCTCCCCATCATGCTCGGGGCTCTCAGCAAATTTATCACAATCTGTCCAAGTAAGATCCCAGGATAAGCTGGAAGGTCGAGATATTTTCATCCTTGATTATTGTCCTTTGGTGCTGAGCCCTATTATGGACATTCTCTACCAGTATGTAGTAGTATGGTTTTTTTTGAAAACAAAAATTCGATTTCTGTCCTATTGAGAGATATGCTTTATAGAGGACATTACTATCTTTTTGAGACAGCCACTTTCGCTAAGGTTGGGATCCCCAATGTCACATGCGCATCTCTGGGTTCACGGATGCCCTGGTGTGAGGCGTAACCCCACCAGTCCGCTGTTCTGGCTGGTTGTTTTAGACGTGCAACTCGTATAAGACGAGACGTCTTCATAGGTGTGGCTAACGATTGAAAAAAAAACAGAGTCGTGTATTCAGCCGCGAGAGCGGGAAGTTACAGGAGTTGAGATTGGGTGAAGAAGGACATGTTGGTATGTTGTGCCATGATTACCTGATGGAACGTTCTACTGCCTGATGACTTAGACTGATGGTGAACATGTGTGACTCCATGTGAACGAGTGATGCGTATTGATTGTACAGAGGGTAGCGGGGAATAGGGATGGAGCAGGTGGGTAGGTATGAGGGGATTTGTTCATTGTAGGTCGTGCGTGGTACTGATCGGAGTTTCTATGAAGGAGGGTGTCAGAGTTACTTCACCAAGTGTAGCTTTCAGTCTTCCTTTTGCATTGTCAAATTTGACTAGGTACGCCGTAGCTGATGGATCAGTAAGAAGGAAGGGCATGGATGTGGCTCTACGTCCTAGCGCATTTATGAGGACATGGTGTTCCTGTCGGTAGGAAGGACAGACTAACATGAAGTGATGTACGGTCTCTTTGGAGTCGGGGTAGTGAGGACATGATGAGCTGTCGGATTTGCAAATGCGGTTGAGACGTTGGTCCAGTGGAAGTGTCCTGTATGAAGAAGCATATAGAGACTAGTGAGGAAGGCATTTTGGGAAAGTGGCAGAAAGTTTGACAAAAGAGTGTTAAAGTATCAGGGAATCGAGTTGGTTGAGTTTGTTGAAGCAGGGACCTGTATCGCTATACATAATATCATTGTTTGTGTCATTCTTGTAATATGGTTCTGGCGTGAGCGAGAACGGCAATGATTTCTTGAGGCGATGAATGAGGTGGTGGGTGTGCGCATCTCTGATTATCCTGCTCTCCTACTCCTTTTCCACTGGGGGGTCACGTCGCCGAACGTGCTCGCCAGGTACTGAAAGCTAGCTTCTGCAGGTAGTTCTTGATGTACCTCGGACGCTCTCCCGTGACAGGTTGGCATATATGCATTCAAAGGTTGGCAAATCTGTTATCAGAGATTTCCGATAGTACGCTCCATGATACAATGATCTCACGTACGAGGTGACAGACTTGATGTGCACATGAACGGATGAAATGTAAACATTTAATTTTGAGGAATTTAGAGCATCTCCCCCTGATAGGATTTGAGCCTTCCGTGTCACCTGTGCATACGTTGGAAAAAGCACTCTCGCCATCGCATGCTGTATTGGGCACAATCACCAGGGGTGGATGATGCTGGTTGTGGCGGAATTGGTATGTAACATGATCCATCATCTGAGAGTGACGGTCTTGACTGACGCTGTGGATACACACACAACTAGGGCGTTGTTGTACATGTGAGTTTGTGTGACCCATACACCCTGGTTGGTTGTGGGGTGTAGAGAATGAAGTGAAGAGCAAGCGAGAGGCTATGTGAAAGCGGATATTGAACTAGGAGGCATATGAATATCGCGTATATTCTTTGCAGGGTCTAATTAGATTCATACAGACATGATTTAGATGTGTGAATCAAACGTGGAGATCCCACAGTCGTGTTAGCTACTGGGCCGACAAATCTAGGTCTGCACAAATTATCTACGCAGTATCTGTTTATATTTAGAAACAAGAACCTCTCCCCACTCTAACAGTTGCGTATTTACATGATACTTTTTTATATCCCACATATAGATTCTGTTCCTACACTAATCCGGCCTGATCGTTTTCGCAGTGATTCAAGCTATCCAAGCACAACTTCTTTGTGTATATAGTTTGAAATCCTGTGCAAGTCTACCATACAAGCAGTCAGAAATAACCCCATGCAGTGCAGCATCAAAGGAGTTGGTTCTGCGACTCTCTAGCTTCTATTTTTGCCTGGATTGCATTGACACGACTGATGAAGGAATCAGATATCAGTGTTCCCTCATCTGTTGCAAGTTGTTCCGCAGTGAAAGGCTGGAGCTCTTTCACATACTGCCTAATGCTGGACTCAAATTCTGAGGAGAAGGATTTTACCAAGCATTCTTCGTAGGTTTTTAATGAGTAAGACCCTTCAAGATACCTCGATAACACAAAATGGATGCGAGAGAGAATCGGTAGCACCGGCGGCTAACATCTCCCTAGTGTTGACTCGTGAGTGCGAACGGAGGAGGGGGTGCTGTGCTGAAGAGGACATGAGTTGGATTCAGTCGAACTACCAAGGGCATTTGGATAGGGAACACGGTTTGTGATGGGAGGATGGAGGTGCACAGGTGAGCATGTTGAGTCCGTGGAGTTAGCTGTAATGAACGCTTCAGAAGTCCTGTCTCCAACCCTGTCCGGGCGAGGGCAAGGCATCTACTCACAAGATTGTGCTGCATTATTGTACGATCGGTCAGCACCAGTAGCATTACCATCGCCATTATCATGCTCTGTGGTATGCATTTCCACCTGGGAAGATTTCACTGGGAATAGGAAATGAGTGAAGGCGTTCAATGATCATCCTAATGCCCTCACCTTGCTTGTGTCTGAATTCTCACCACCAATCCCCCACTTGATTCAACATGCACTTTACTGTGTCGACACGCAAATGTATCCCGCTTACGACCCATTCCCATACCGGCCGATGCTCTTGTGTGCTGATTTGATTCAGGCTTTGCCACAAGATACTGTCTTCAGCTCGCTGACCCTCCGAGTTTGTCTTCTCCCGGTGCATATATCCCTCGAAAATCAACAAAAACTCCAAGGTGTTGAAAGGGTTTTGATCGTCTGTTGTGAGATTAATGTGAGACATCCGCAAATGCATCCTGAAAACCATACCCTTTTTTTCCGAAGTCACCGTCTGTGCCTCAGTCAGACCCAAATATACCCTCAATTTTTCTACAAACTCCCTCCAGATCATTTTTCTGAGCCAGAGATGTCTTGCGGCGGCCTCAATACCCTCCAAATCAGGGTTCTGAAAGATTATTCTGCTGAGGCTTCGCAAGTCACCCAAAAACTGGTCGACTTCAAGGTACGCTGGCTCTGTGACAAGAACGTAACGCAAGAGGTCGATTGGTGTTCTCCAATAGTCATTCCCTATAATAATCGAGGAGGCTGTTTGTAACTAGAAAACGATCGTATGGATTGATGTTACCTTCACAGAACCAATCCCATTGTTTATTGCTCCAGAAGAATGGACGAGGCTCATGCCCCTCGTGCCATCGTTCCGGTAAGATCGTCCCTTCCTGGTACTGAGTTTTGAAAAATTGGCTGGGCTTGCTTAACTCTTGTAATGCCTGAGGTTTGATTGTACTGACTGGATCAGCACACATGAATTCAGGTCCATCTGCTATGGCCTCCGAGTGCGTCACGTAGAACCAATCCCGAAGCATCTGGACCTTCCATTCGTTGAGAATGTTCACGCGCTCTTCGCCAGGCTCCACGTTATAACTCAAGCTAACCAGCTCCTCCACCGCAAGTAGCCTGGAAAGCATGTATTGAACAAGCAATGTCCCGACGTTCTGTCAGCAGGCGGTAGCCATCTTTTTCTCCTTCGGACTCGATGCCTTTCCCTCTTCCTTGGACCAAAGTTGCCATACGTTGATCAGCAGGACAATATTATATGATAGCTCAAGCCAAATATCCCGGTACCTCATTGGCAGGGGTACATACCCTCTAAGCTGCCCACCCTCCATGACTGGTACCCGGCAGGTTGTGTGCTTCGTCCGTGTATCAAAATCAATGGCAACAATCTCTTGAGGATGTCATATCCCGCATTCCGGACCAACATCTGACGACGTTCCCACACCTCATCCGGACCTCCGGACCTCCTGTCCATGTCTCCAAACCCAATCCTCTATCCGTCCGGATCCCTGTACTCCTGCATCTGATATCCGGATGCCAGATCTGATATCCACATCTCCGGATCTCCGGATCCGACCTATCTGTCATGTCCGAACCCAAACCTTAAATCAGTGCCCATCCCCTTATGGTAATCACCTGTCTCCGGACTTCCGAACATCCGGATCCGACCCACGTCTATCTTCCTTGCATTCCGGACTCCTCCGCTCCTCCGCTCCTCCGCTCCTCCGCTCCTCCGCTCCTCCGCTCCTCCGCTCCTCCGCTCCTCCGCTCCTCCGCTCCTCCGCTCCTCCGCTCCTCCGCTCCTCCGCTCCTCCATTCCTCCGAGTTTCCGGAAGTTCCTCCGGAACTTTCCCGCGGTCCTCCGGACCTATTCTGCTTCGGACTTTGTCCTTGCAGCCTTTCCTCTGTTTCCTTCTACTCAGGACGAGTCCTGAGTAGCCATTATACATATCCCCGTCAGGACGAAACTCCATCGTAATTTCCGGAAGTTCCTCCGGAACTTTCCCGCACTCATCCGGAAGTTTCTCGCACTCGTCCGGAAAGTCCTTCCGAAGTTTCCCACGCTCCTCCGGAAGTCCTTCGGACTTCACTGGACTTTCTCTGGACTTCATTCTGAAGTTAAGGGCACATACTCGGGTAAGGGGCGCAGCGCACGAGCTGAAGCCAAGCCCCTTGGAATCAGTCCTACCCTTTGTGCATGGTCTTAACAGAGGAGCGCAGTAGGTGATCTGAGTCCCAAAGTTTGTTAAGGATTCATCCATGGTTAGCTCTGCACGGATGATTGGGATTGAGAAACAGGAAATGGGCCTCTGGATTCGCACTGGGGGCACTGGAAGGGTTGATTTACAGGACATTACAGCAAGTGCCCGATCCCTCTTGGTCTTTTTTTTCGGCTTTGGGACTGCTGAGTCTTCATTGTTGAATCTGTGTCCACGAACTTTAGTGCGTGCCATAATTAGCGAATAAACCCGCAGAATAAGCTGAGAGTGTTTCCTGAGGGCTTAAACACAGTAAAAATCGGACTATGTGGGAGCGTGCGAGAGTATTACGCAAAGTACAAGATCATGTATTATCTAGTTGATAGTAAACATTGAGTATTCCTCAACTGCATGTGTTGCGCAACGGTTACATTTGCCTTGCATATACATATACATATGCAGTGCGCGAAGTAACAAAAGTTTTCAAATCTAAAATTTGTTTTCATGCCACCAGCAACCTTGCTCCCTTACGCTCGAATTTCTCCGCACAACGATGATGCAGAAAGCGAGTAACACACTCGAGCCCAGCTCCTAAACACTTAAGGTTCCTCAACAGCAGCACCCTGAATCGGAGGTTTGCCTTTACCCGATCCTTCAATATCTTTTCAATGCAAGTTTTGTGAACAACATTCAGGCTGAGTCAAGACTTTCGGAAATGAGTGTAATGTTTTGTTGAATACTCTAACGCGGAAACGCAAGTTGTTTACTACGTGACTACCTATGCGACAAACGGAACGAACTCTCCTCATCATTTCTTATATTATCCAGAGTGCCCACCAAACAAGCATGCCCATTCTCGTGCATCTTGACCAGTTGACATCTGCTCCTGGCAAATATGCTGTTCAGAACTTCAATAATGCCAAGAAACTGGAACACTGGATAACGTCTGTTTCATGTCAAACAAGTCTTTAGAGTCAAATAAGGACTCACTTTAGTTTACTAGGCCCAGATCGTTTGCAAGTCCAGGTACCCTGCTTCGACTGATATATCCTTAACCAACTAACTCACCACGCATAGATCATGGTGTCAACAACAATCTAGAAAAGGATTTCAGAACCTCCATCACGGATGTCTTCACCACTGGTCAGAAATTGTCACTATCACTGCCTGAGCACCTAATAGGTAGATTGTCAAGGTTGGTGTTCCTGGGCTTGTCACGTCCTTCTACAGGAACCTCATGATTGTGACATTTAGCAAACCAAAAGGAGTTTTAGAGCATATCTCTGGTATTCTGTCGACAACACTCCCCAATGATGCCGTATCAGGCGAGCTCGCTGATCTGGTTGGCTTTGACGACATCAAAATTGTCGCAGAATTGCTCGCCTCTTGATCCTACTTTGTGAACGTGGTCAGTAGCGATCAAGTGTATCACATTTAATGACTCACAGTACCTTTGTTTCTGGAAGAGAAAGAACGACATTTGAAAACTCAACCTCGGGCAAACCAAAAACAGGCGGTTAGTGCCGTCCAATATTATTATCATTTATCATTAGTGTTGTTCAGTCGTAACTGCCAGCCTTGCTCCACAGGATGTTTGTCGCCGCGTGGAAGAGATTCTGAGGGTAAATGTGTCTTGTCCTTTGTTCACTGGCGTGGCAGTAAGTTTATTTGTGCCTGGACGTGGGCCCTCGTTCAAAATATCCAGCAAGAAACTCCAGAAATGCTTCCACATGTGTACTCTTCGTCCTCTACGATGCAAGGCGGTTCGCTTTCTCAGTTTGGTAGCAGGTACGTACTTCCAGTCGGAAATACAAGACATGACGAGGTCGGTTACAAACGCCTTGCTCAATCTCATCTGCTCACCAACGAGTCAGGAATGCGAGGAAGCCATCCTTCCTCCTTCCAGAGTTACTCCACCCAGGAAATCCGAAAGGCTCACTCTTGTCAACGAACTTGATGAATTAGTTTGGAGGCTAGTTCCTTTCCTGAATCACATGCAATCTATCATCTATCCAACCAACCACCTAAGAATCAAACGAAAATATACTGGTTTGCGTTGCGTCTTGTTGTTGCGCCGAATGATCTTTACCACCCTAACGGCATTTTGCAGCTGCCACTGGTGCTGTTAGCTTATTCTGCGTGTCGTCCTTGAACTGTAGCTTATGAAACTCACATTATAAAGTAAAATCAATATAGCGACGTTGACAATCCTTCGGGCTCTCAACAAGAACCAATCACCCATCAGTCCATCATCACCTTTACATGCTTTGATAGATCGCAATTATTTATGTGTGAGCTTCCAATAATGTTTTGGTTATAATAGAGCGCCCTGACTTTTAAACATAGTGCACCTATGAAAGCTCTTGCTTCTGAGGTCACTCAAAAGCTGGGGAAAAGACTAAAGTGGCTCGCTATACAAGTCAAGGAATTGACAGGGATAAAAATTCTCTCCGATACATGCATCACTTATTAATTTTCCATGTAAGTGACATGCAACTGACAAAATCTGAAATTGCCGAAACACAAGTCATAGTCGCCACACCTGAAAAATGGGACGTCGTAACTCGAAAGCCCACTGGCGGAGGCAAATTAGCTTCAGTATGTCTACATATAAGTACCTGTGCCTTCACCTTCCTGACGGCCTTTTTGCATGTAGAAGTGGAAGCTTTTGATCATTGACAAGGTACATCTTTGAAAGAAGAACGCGGGGCTATCGTCGAAACTATCGTTGCGCGCACGTTACGACAGGTAAATGTTTGTTCTCTAAGAGGTGAATTCATGACCGACTCATTTGTAGGTCAAATCAAGCCAATCTGTCATTAGAATAGTTGGGCTCAGTGCAACGTTGCCAAACTATTTGGATGTCGCAGAGTTTGTTTGCCAACATTGTTCTTCTGATCAATCAAACTCAACTCATAATCAGTGTGTCCCGATATAAAGGACTCTTTTTCTTCGACTCTTCCTTTCGAACAGTACCTTTGGAGCAGCACTTCATTGGAATTCGAGGAAAGCCTGGAAGCGTACGTTCTAAAACGAATCTTGACGGTGTCGCATACGAGAAAGTTTCTGACCTAGTACGACAGGGACACCAAGTAACGTCGTTCGTTCATGTGCAGAAAGAAACGGTGAAAACGGCGCAAGCTTTGAGAGATGGCGACAATAGATGGCACATTGGAGGATTACAACTGCGGGGAGCATCCTCAATGGTCATTTTTCCGAAGGAGCATAGGAGATTCTAGGAATAAGGAGGTGAAACAGCTGTTTTATCTTGTGTTTGGTATTCATCATGCGGGTATGCTGCGATCTGATCGAAACATGATGGAGACAGGATGTTCGAAGCTCGAGTGATCAAGGTCAGTGGTATTGGCGTGGAAATAACACAGGCGAGAGCTAATACGTTGGAGGATGGCTCTCTGTTGTACGTCGACGCTCGCATGTGGAGTCAACTTACCTGCTCTTGCAGGTGAGAAATTTTTACCGCGTCCTTCATTCTTCTCTCATGAAGGAGTCAAGTTGTAATCAAAGGCACTCAGTTTTACGACAGCGCAAAGCGATCCTTTGTCGATCTCTCGGTTTTGGATGTATTGCAAGTGTTTGGTCGTGCTTTCCAGCCTTGTTTCGAGGCAAGTGGTGAAGGATACATTTGCACTGCTGAGGACAAACTCATGCACTATCTTAATGCTGTAACATCACAGGTACGTTTATCCAGTCACGACGAGTGATGAATGCTGAACAATCATCCAGAACCCGATTGAATCTCATGTGTCCTTGACGTTAGTCGACGTTCAACAACAGTTCGACCAAATCCAAGTGAGAGTGTCAGAAGTGAAGGAACTAGACCTTCTGATGAAGTAAGTTCTGTGTACTGTGCGAGTGAGTAAGGTTCCTTGAGGTTTCAGAGCATCATTCAGAGTTTCAGCGCCAAGGGAGGAAAGGATACAAGCCAAGGCAAAGCCAACATTCTCCTTCAAAGCTGCATTTCTCGCCTTCCAGTCGAAGATTTTGCCTTGATTTCTGACGCAGCATATGCAGCGCAGAATGGAGGACACAAAGGTTTTCATGGGTATCACTAAGGCTACAGAGAAACACCTTTGGCCATTCAATGAACCCCTTAGGCAATTTAATCTCAAAGCCGAGATCATATACGGCTTGGAGAATTCAAGAGAAGAGTACCCGCCCGCAGAACTAGTTTCCATGCTCCAGTAGAGCTGGGTGAACTAGTTTGCTTAAAGGAACGCCACGTTCAAGCGCTCTGGAACTTCTGCAGCTCGGCAGTTCCCTACAGTCAAAATGACTAGTTCACTTCGACCGCTGGTGTCAAATGTCCTCAAGGTTGTAGTTTCGGTTACTCGAGACTTTGATTGGAACAAAGATGGACCTCTATGGCCGAACTATTAACTCACTGCCAGCAGCAAGCCAGCAGACAACACAGTTACCATGCGGTCCCACACCTGGTAGCATGCTAAAGCGGACGTGCTCCTTTCCGTCAAAGACGAGAAAGTTGTACTAGTTTTTGATGGTGTTCCGGAGACAAATGCGCCCCTTTGTGTGGTGGGAGTAATGTTTGGGTAAGAGCGACTTGAGAGCTTCATCTGTGGCATATGTGACCCATTTTGGGGGCGAGAAGTTCATATACCCTTGTCCAAGATTGATACAGTCTGCGGGAAGGTTCGCTGCACTAAAGAAGATTGATGAATTGGCACCAAATTATGAAGTCTGTGTGAGATACCTATAGTCGCGTGCTTAGTGAATTAAAACACGAGGGAATGATTGTATCGAGCAAGGGTCGTGGCTGGGACAAATATCATAATAGTGGGCGGATGAGAAGGTGCGCGTGGGGTACAGGTTATGGAGTTACACAAACAAGATATCTCGCCTTGCCTATAATCACACGAGCAGGGTAAGGTAGAAATAATGAAAGACTTGCTCGGACTCGTCAAACCTACACATTCTGTTTCGAGATTTAACATCAACTGTTGGTGGATGAGGCATAGTAATTGTATTTAACTTACTAATAGCCTCGGCACGAGACAAGAAGGTAGTCGCTTTCTTCATATCCGGTTCATCTTTGAATACAGCTTGGCCAGCCATGAAGACAAGGTTGTACCTACCGTCTTCCTTATAGGTGCGCCAACATGGCATGTTCAGAGGGATTGCACCGGCATCTAATGCTGTATTGGTGAATTGATAAGTTTAAAACTAACTCACATGCATTGCGCGCTTCTTCAGACACAGAGCTACAAAAATCTTGCTTCCATACAAATCATGGAAGTATCTCGCCAAACGAGGCACAAGTAGTTTGCTACTTTCTGCAATGATTGTAGTACGTTTCCCACTTTCCCACCCCCACGTGTCGGTTTGCGAAGAAATGGACATTTGCTTATGACACCCTCTTCCACTTTGTAGAGTTGGGGATCCCCACAGCACACTTGACCATGTCAGGCATATCTTTCACTCACGCCAATTCATATCATGACTGCATGCCCTTGTAGTGTTAGTCCTTGACCTTTAATAAGCTCTTCCGCCGTGCTCACGCTTAGTTGCAAAGCAGTCCGTATCCTTTGATACTATTAATCTTTAGTCTTCGTAATTTGTGGCTTCTTCTGCGATTCACTCCCATTCACTGGAACAACATTTCTAGCACCAAATTTGGTGTCCGTGTTGCAAGCTTCATCTCGACGTTTCAAGCGCAATTTCTTTATCCAACAAAGAGACCTGCAACTCTGCGACCTATCCCTGATAACGCTAGAAGCGCCTTGGACGAGCGAGGCAAGAAGACACCCAGACGTGTGACACATCTTCCGGTGGAGATGTATTGGAGAAGTTTTCTCCTGGACAATATGTTTAGCGCCGTTGTCGGTGTGAACAGGGACGGAGAGTACAGCACAGAAATATCCAAGGTACTAGGTCCACGTTGTTCTATATTTCGCTCGTCTTGAGAATTTTGTCAAGAAAGGACTGAATCTGAGTGTTTGTTGATTCTGGTCTGAAAGCCTGTCGTAATTCAATCACAAAATGGGTGTTTTAACTTCAACTGTCGTGCTCCGGTTGTCTCTAGAAATAGCAGCTGATTATTGCCAGAATCTAAGAGTAGCAGTGCATATATATGCACATCAAGAATTGATTCAAGGAGTCCATACAGCATGTACACTTACTCGAACAAAAGAACCAATCAGCGCAAGCAGCTACATTACAGTAAATTTATTTACTGATTTATCTATGTACTAATTCGGGTCTGAAGGAATTTGTTTGTTGCCCTATCCAACTCGCTCAGACAGAACAACAGGCCTGTGGATGATCCAACTACAGTAGCAATCAGCGCGGCAGTGAATGAAGCTGAGCAAGAGCTCAATCCTGCAGCACTACCCAGATGTTAGATTTGGACAAGCTCCAAGCAGTGTTTGCATCTTCAAGCTCTAAAGGGTGTTGCTATGCTGGGCTCTTCGGAAGCTTCCACAAGTATGCAGGGTTCGTCTAGGCTTGTGGAAGATGCTGCTGGTGTGCCAGTTGATGGACACCGGGCAAAGTCTATGCATAACGCCTTCTCTTCCTATCTCCATCACCTCAATCAAGGAGACGTGAACCTGCCAACCACATGATATCAGGTTGCTCTCTGCATCAAGGAGTGTTTCTATCATGCCATACTCAGTGATTATGTTGAGTTCAGATATTGCACTGACAACTGGAAGGCGGAATGCCTTGCACAGCACAACTATTCACAACAGCATCAGCGGGTTGGATTGCGCTACAGAATGCTCTGTAGCATTCTGTAGCACTCTGTGATGAATTATGTTTCCCTGATGAGTACAAATACCATGTCATTCAACTTCGGGTCCAGAAGAGAGATATGTTGGTACTGTAAATAGATGATGGTCAAAGTGCAAAGTTGTTGTGGCATATAAAGAAGCCGGAAAGAAACTGTCATGGTCAACACTGACTGAAGACATGGGGCTTGACAATGAGTATTTAGAGCCTGGCTATTCGAAGCCTAACGACTCGGACTCAGACATAATCACTACTCTAGACTCCAGCGAGTCGCTCGTTTCACCCATCGTTGACACTTTTCCTCTGGCAACCCGAGACAGTCAGTGTCGTCCTCAGGGCATTGCTCCCACTGTTCCTCAGGTATAACAGCTTACAAGTCTTTTAATTACTTCTAATGCAAGTCAAATATGCAGGTGAAAAACCCTCTATCGTAAGTTTGTTATTGCATCATGAATAACACTTCAGCAACCAGGTGCCGTCCCCGGAGATGGACTTGCTGTATTTGCCTGTATTACGCCAGTGTAATTGGGTTCTCCTTCTTATCTGTGAAGCTTCCTGGACAAAACGCTTCGAAACGTGAATCTGCACCACAACGTTGTCCCTTGTTTCGTCTTTGTTGTTAGAGGCACTTCCCGATGCAAAATCCTGCCGGTGGGACATATGGCCGTAGAATCACATTTACCCTGATTAACGTTGAATTTACAAGTATATTGGTACTATTTAGCTGACTTGCAAATTTACGGTGGATTTAACCCTGGTGTTGGATTTTGGCAGAGAAAACAATTCTGATAACACGTACTATATTAATAATTGAGGATAAGTTACCTATTGGGAAATGCCAGGTTGGCGTGTGACAACGTTGCTGTCGAAATCCGCTTTCCTTCCTCCCTTTTTATCCATCCCTGAAATGCCTCCCAAAAATCCCAGAGGCGCGAAAGCTGGTGCGATCCTGAGTGGTATCTCACGTGCTGGCCCAGGGGAGGCAGATATCGGGAGCATGGTGCCACAGGATGCGTCCAACCTCTCCAGAAACCACGGGGAGTTACTTCAATGCCTATCCGCCACCTCATCCAACATGCTGGGAATATACTGCCACATGTGCTGCGACGCGATCCAACCTGGATTCCAACATCAGTGCATCAACTGCCACGCTCTCATTTGCGAACAGTTTGTTCCTCGGAGCAGCGGTTGTATTGTTCATGGATCTGTAGTGTGCAGCAGGAAGGAATTCCTGTGCCCTATTTGTGCAAGGACTGGAAACAAGAAGGATTCTCCTTTGCCGTACGTGTATTCTGGCTTTGGGAGGCAAAAAAAGTGAAGATGGAATGGCCGATGTGCCTCGTGAACCTTAATGTGGAGTCGTTGGAGGAAGGCTACCTGGTAACGACCACCAAGGTTGAATTAATCAATCATTACAAGTCACAAACATCAAATGTCCATGGAGCTGACATTCTTTTTGTGTGTGATACTGAAGACCTCTTCTAGCTGTTCATTCACACCTTGCCCATAACCCAGGCTGTACACACGTCCGAGCCCAAGAACCTTGCAGATGGGATTGAGCTCATTCACAAGGCCATAAAGGCTGGATGTCCCCCGAATTCTTTTGTCATGATCGACAATGACTTGAATGAAATTGCCGAAGGAAGCACTTTAATCTCAGATGTGGTTGCAAAATCCCTCGGCGAAGAGTTCATGGAGTGCATGGGAGCAGCCTCTTCTGCTGCAAGTGGCGACACCATTGTCAACATTACAGCAACCGGGAAGAAGCCCTGGTGTGATCTCACTGCCAAGGCCAGGGGAGGACGGAGAGCTCTGCTCCTTGTCGGCAGTCATCCTTCCATCAGGTTACGTCATAACTTTGAATCGCTTGTGTCGCTGGTGGAGAAGTAAGAATTTATTATGATATGCAAATGTGCTTCACTCATGGCACTTCAGTGACAAGTTTGATTTTGTGCTTGGATTTGGAGGTTCTGGCACCTCCGCATCTCAAATATCTCATACGGTGCGCTCTCTCATTGTAGAGACTGCAGTGTTCGGACAAACAGATCCCTGGTCTGCATTGAGAGATATCCTTATGTCAAACCATCAAGTCTTAGATTACACAACTGTTGTGTTGTTGTACGCGACGACTGCTAGTGTCCCCGCCAAATCGAATGCCGTCAGATTGGGAAGGATGCCCCTGCATTGCGTGCCTTCGGCTACGAGTTCAAGACTTATCATTGTGCATGTCAACCGCAAGTAGATCTGCCAACCTTCACAGCTTTTATGACGCTGCATTGTTGAAGGGTTACACAAATTTCTGATCTGTCAGTCATCATGCTCTGCACAAACTAGACGAAAACTTCTTCATTCACTTTTCAATCAAACTTCATTGAATTCCCTCCGAATTCGCCAAAAGCAGACATTGCATTCATGAATGTGCGGAATATAATGGATCAATTTGCTGTTGTGCAGGAGGAATTTTTGACGTCCTATTTTTTCGTTTTGAGTATTGCAGCTCATTTCATATTTTCTTTTCCCCACCCATCCACTCCCTTTCCTTTTTCACCTATATACCTTTGGCCTTGGTGCTGTGCTGCTCTACAACATTCTTCCTGAGCCCTATTGGCTTAACTCCTGCAAGCTCGTGCGCGGGTTTTAAATTATGAGAAAGAACAGTCTCACAGCACAAGAACTTGCTGACGCGTTCATTCTCCTTGGCGCTTGGGAGCGATAGTTTGGGACCCTCCATCATTCGCAAGCGAGACAGACATGCAAAACTCTCCGACGGAGAAGAAGCGCAGGCTTTGTCTTATTTCCTTCGACGCAATCACATGCTCCCTCGCATCAAAAAATGGTCACAACTTCTATTACCAAATGGACAAATTGCAAGCACAATCTGGAGGGAGAGAGGCTAAGGTCACTCGACAAGACACGGATGTGTCGTAATGTCAAAGTACACCTGACCATCCAGAGTTTATGTTTCCACGGAAGTGTGCCCACTCAGACGGGTTTTCCTTACCTACGGTGGCATACCGTGTTGAATTCTGATATTATACTGCGCCTTCAGGAAACATACCAAGAATAATGTCTCCCGCCTCGCGTAATCGCTTCGCCACACCTGCATCATTCGGAAACACGGAGTTCAACAAGTTATATGAACCCGCAGTTGTGTCCATTCCTTCACGTATTGCTATAACCTTTGGCTTTCCACTCTACACTATCAAAACACACCTTCAAATGCCACAGTCGCAACATTATCCTTCACAAGCACCAGGATCCCATGGAGCACACTACGTGGCACGTAGGTGAGCTCCTCATAATCCAGGATCGCAGCCTCCTGGAGCGCGGACAGATTTGTCACAGCGCGGAGCATCGGCACCTGTAGATTGACCCCTTCGATGCGGGAGAAATACGCCTGTTAAATCAAAATGTAAAACCATATCCGTAATTCTATTAGTATCACTGCAGGCGATTTATGATATGCAAGAAAGATAGTATGCTTACGGACCTTGATCAGGTCGACACTCGTGAACTGCCCCGAGGTAAGCCCCGACTAAAGCTCAATATGCCTTGTCGAGATCAGGTAGAGGCGTTATGATTGACGCAGAAACCACCTGTCGGGAGACGTGTAGGAACTGGCCAAGCGCTAGCAATCCCCAGAAGAGGGCAGGTGGCTTTGCACCCATTTTTGCGTGCAGAGGGAAATGACAGAAAGCAGAAGGTCAAAACCTAGAAATAACTAGGCGACAAGATAAGCTTGGTTCAAGTACCCCCAAGCGGAGCATTTCTCAAGAGGTCACTTGGGTGATAATGGCGACAAGCAAGACATCGAAGCAAGGTTGACTTCTCCCACGACTGAGCAGAAATACATGTGGACCTTTTTAGATGTTCAAATTTAGCAGAGATGGCAACTATGTATCATGCGCACCAGGTGGAGAGATATCTCAACATTCATTTTCTGGCTTGGTGCCAATGAAAGAATCCTTTGCCTAGGTCGAGGTCGAGCTTTTGTATCACCACTAGGTCCGTTCTGCACACTCTGTCTGCCGTGAGAGAAGCTGATGAACTGTTCGACATTGATTGTTGAGAGCCGGGAAACTCGAGAACATGATAGGTTGTAAGAGATGAAGTTCGGTCGCGGTGTAACTGGCACGCGCGGCATGCAACATGGATTATGTAAAAATATAAATTAAATGTAAATGTTGTATCCCGCGGCCTTATATCACCGCTCAGAAGACCCCGGGGCCGAGTGCTCATTATTCACTTCACCCGTGGGACACAAGGCCTGGTCAATTCTAAATAAAATGTTGTTGTCAATGTCAACTTGACCTTACGGCCGTTCTCTTGTAAATTACTTACATGGACCTTAAACCTTTGCATGGGAGACATCCTACACCTTATCTGCAATGTTGCTTCCATGTAATGAATTCCTTTAACAAAATACCAAAGTGTCAGGGAACACCAGCACACTACACCCTGCAAGGACAGTCATAAATTGGAACCTCGTGGCAAGTCAGGGTCGGCGGGCATACAAATAGAATTCCAACCTGCACAAGACTTGTTGGTTTCCTGTAAGTGCAACGGCAAACCATCCGAAAATGGCCACCAAGAAGCGCAGCGTTGACAAGCCTTGATCACACACAAGTATCAGTACTGAAGGTTAGAACGTCAGTCGATATAGGAAAGAGAGGCGAAGGACCCAGATTTTGTTCCTTGCGCTGTGCTGTCATATCATACAAGAGTATGCAGTAATGTGGGATTGTCAGTATTTGGACTCTAAAAAAATGCGAAGAACGCTGACCGATAGCTTGGATCTGCGCTGCAGGAACTCAAGAAGTAGCGAGTGAGGTCGCAGATCCAGCCCTCATAGAATGTCCGGAAATGGAAGAGGGGAAGAAAATGTGCAAGGCATCCACGAGATTCCGCATAATCCAGGAGCGCACATTGTAGAACTAACCCTAACTAACTGGATATATATATAATGCCTCAAAAAAAAAGATGCCCTTGGCAGGTGTGCACATAGGCAATCCCGCAGACTGGAACCTTAGCAAGAGAATCGGTTTAATCATACTGAAATATTTTACCTGCCATACAGGATGCATTGATGCGCGGGACATGCATCGTGCCTAGGGCGCATTGGGGTACAGTTTCTTTTTTTCTGTATTTGTATCGGTTTGGAACACAGTCAACTTGGTTGAGTTGCTCGAATGCTCACAGAACTTTCTTATCACATGATTATTTTGTCTTCGAAATCATGTGCGTATCTTGTGCTGTTTGCCATTACATATGGAGATAACCTTGGTAAAGAAAAAAAAAGAGAAAGTTATCACAACGAGAAAATTAAACGACACACAGGAATGCCTACCGAAGAACATACATAGACATAGCTAACGAAGGCAAGTCCATAAGGATCCTCAGCACATGGGTCAATGGCACAAATGAACAGGACATATGTTCCCCGATTCTTGACAAAATCGAAAACACCCTCCAAAGATGGGAGAAATGGCGCCCTACAATAGAAGGACGGAAGATTATCATTCAGCGAACTGTAGGAAGCATGTCCCTATACCTAGCAACAGCCCAAGGGATGCCTAAAGAAATCGAAGACCTACTCATAAAAAGATCTCGCAAATTTGCGTGGGACAGCAAAGGCAATAACTCTGCCAGTATAAATATCCTGTATGCACCAGTCAAAGAAGGAGGAACAAACATACTCAACCTAAGAGACCGCAACGATGTCATAGAACTCAAATGGCTCAAAGGCCTCCTTGCGCCACATGCTAAATGACCACAATGGGCATTTTTTGCCCATGCACTAATTGCTAAAGCTGCCCAGAGCACTCCTGTAGTCAAACCAAAAGCAAAGATCAACCTCTTTCTTCAGACATGGGCCACGTCCTTAAAGAAACTACCGACCCACCTAAAATGTATCCTCAAGGCGGCCAAAAAATATAAGATGAGGTGGGAGGCAATCTCCATCAATCCAGAAATCACAAGACAACTACCAGTCTGGTTCCACCTGGGGGCCTCGAACGAACTTAAGAAACTGAATAACCGCCTTTACGCCAACTGCCTAAGAGCGGGACATAAAGCCCTCTCAGTAGGCAAGCTAGAGGCCCTAACACTAAGACAGGACCCGTCGCACAGGAAACACCACAAGTGCCCCTGCACCAACTGTACCTATGACAGAACCCTGCAATGCAAAAAACCATTCAAGTGCATGCAGCTCGCAAAAGACATCCTCACCTGTATCCTCCCAAAATGGAACCCTCAGTCGTGCACCACACCCTATGCACTTAACATATCACCCGAGCAAATAGCCACCGTCGAAGAAACCCAAAGCGACCAAGCTCCCGCTCCCTTCGACCCCATCTTCCCCACAACAGACTCCTTAGACTCAGGATTCAGAGCTTTCATCACCCCCAGAACACCCTGCACCCTCCCAGCAAGGCAAATCAGAGAACAACAAAGAAATACCCCAGAACTTATCAGGATCATAATCGCATGCTCGCACCAAATCAACAGGAACAGTGACCACGAATCCAGTGGGGTTGCGTGGCTTGGACATGGCAACATCCGCAACAAAGCGATAAAACTGCCAGAAGACTTAGCAGCACCGGGAGCAAGAGAAGCAGGAGCTCTACTTACAGCCATTTCCACCCTCCCTACTAACATTCCCCTTCGCATTCTCGTCAAAACACCAAAACTATATAAGAATCTAACCATTAACCTTTCGAAACTAGAAGACACAAATTGGATTACTCACCCTCACCGCAACATCATGAGAGCCATAGTCGCAAAACTGAGAGTGAGATGCGCGCTAACTACCTTTGCCGGATGGAAAAACAACATTCCGCAACATACCGCCAGCACAATACTAGAGCAAGCTCAAGAAAGCATGCTCAAGATTGATCAGGACACAGTGCCAACGAAAATAGATGAACCATTAGAACTCGCTGGACTGAAACTGAACACTGTTTCACAAAAACTCTTTTACTCGAGCATAAGACAAATGCACCCTCCCACGAAACAACGGAGACGCACCATGATGAACCTAGCAATGGCGCAACACGCGATATATGACATATCCGGAACAACACCATCCTGTGAACAAATATGGCTGTTAATAAGAGATCGAGACACTCCTAAAGCATCCAGAGCTTCCTATGGAAGAGCTTGCACGAGGCGTATAAGATCGGGGAATTTTGGGACAAAATCCCCAACTACACACAAAGAGGTCAGTGTGGACTATGTGGCTCATCCTAGACAATGGAACACATACTACTTGACTGCAATTCCCTTGCCTCCCGCACAATCTGGAGAGCCGCCAGCAACCTTTGGCATCTAAGAGAGGCCAGCTGGCCCGAAATCCGTTTTGGAACAGTCCTAGGCTGTAACCTAGCGGTTTTCTATAATGAAAAAGGATGGAAGAAGTTAGGTACGACCGGACTATTCAAAATATTAGTACTAGAATCTGCGCACCTCATATAGAAGTTGAGATGCGAAAGAACCATCAAATTCGAAGGCAACAGAGAGAAGTTCCACACCAAAACTGAGATCCATAATAGATGGATACATGCGATAAACATGAGGCTAAAATTTGATAGACTAGCTCTAGAGTACTCCAGGGGGCTACCATAAATGGGATTTGGAAACCCGGGAGAACAAGGCTATGACACGTGCGTGGAGCATATATATTAGGAGTGTTCCATTGGCATTTCGAGAATAACAAACCCCACCTTACTTCCATTCTTGTTAATATACAAAGACATCAATGGTACGCACCACACTCAAAGGGAGCAGCATTGGGCGCGTCGATAGAGTCAAATCCAAAGGCAAACGCATGGCAAAGGGTGCTTTTAGCTTATCAGCTACTAATGCTACAAGGCACTCCACAGCTGTACCACTCCGCAAGCCCATTACTTCATTTGCAATTCCGCTTGTTCATGCCGAGATCGTCATGGATGACTCGCTCAAGAACGACGACACTTGGATCACATACAGGGAACCGCAAGAAATCGAGATCATCCAGGTTGGAACGACGGAGCCATACAAAATGTGCCGTGTGCCGGTGTTTGAAGGTGGGAGGAAGCGAGGGTTTGTACCGCTGCCCCTGAGGTACCGGGATCTATGGCTTGAACTTTCTTACAATATTGTACTGTGCTCCAACCTATGGGAGCTTTGGAAGGAAGAGGGTATGAAGAAGTTGAAAGGCAAGAAGGCGAACATGGTGGAGACTTGTTGAAAGAACACAGGGACAATGCTTGTCCAACACATGCTCACTAGGCGGTTGGTTGTGGAGCAGTTACTGAAGTTGGATTACCTCACGGAACCTGGCAAAGAGAGCGTCCCACTTTTGGATGAATGGAAGATTCGCATGTGTCGTGATTGGTGGAACAAGAGTTATGATGAGGCTTTCGCTGAAGGGCGCAAATTCCTGTCAGCGGATCCCGTGACAGCTCCAAACAAGGCATTCTTCGGTAAGTCTATTGCATTCACCTATGCTCGACAACGCATGACATGTTGTCAGAAAAAGGATGGAATATTAATGACCAAGGGAAGGAATCATTGTCCCCCGTATCCTTCCATGTGGATCAACGGTTGCGTTCAGGGAATTTGCAAAACATTTGAACGTACCATCAAGCCACAGGCACTTGACGAGTTGAAGAAGCCCAGCGAATTTCACGAAACTAGGCATTTGGAAGATGGAGAGCTTCCAGGACACTGGCACGAGGGACACAATCCTTGTCTTTTCTTCTGGAGTGCAGCACAATGGGAGTGGTACAGCGAAGGTTGATAAGCCTATACCGCATCATCTCTTCTAAGCAACTGACAATGTGACGCTGTTCAGGACACAGTTTTGCAGAAACTCCAATCGCCTTCTTCAATTTTGTCCTCAGGAAAGAGCCCAGCTATGCGGATGTCAAAGAATTTGAGCATGACGTCAAGAGCATTGCCAATATTATTTTTCCTAATGGTGACGGCAATGACTGTGACAACATCCAGGGAATTGTAGGCGGACTCTGGCTTGGCGAGATGACCTGGAGGGAATTCGTGGATTACCTGAGGCAGAAGTGGAATCTAGATGAAAATTCCTGCAAGCCTTGGGAAAAAAAGGGTATCGACATCTTCTCTTTCATGCTACACCCCATGTTCAAAAAGCCTTCTTTTATTCTAGATGAAAGAAACCCCTTCGATAGCTTGGAAGCCCAGTTGATCTTCCAGGGATTCATGCGCCGGGGCTCCGAGAACAGAGATTGGAATCCTGAGGATCAGATCCTGTGGGAATCTTTGTTGAGAATGAGCCCAAAAGAATATGAGCCCGTATGGAAGAAGGTGGTGAAAACCATTTTGGAGGAGGAGAAGTCTGTGTGAGATGTGTTGAAGGATGCGGGGAATTGGTCACAACATTGTGAGTGTTTGCAATGCTGGTTTCATTTCCTGTACACGCTATATTGCATCACCAGTAAAATGAATGACTCTAACGGTGATACTTGCGTCTCAGCTCAATCCATGGAGGATACCGAAATAGGTCAGGTAGAACGTCAAGCTCAGCCTCAAGTTCATCTTGAAAACATTGATCGTGGCTGCGCTTCTGCCGATTCCAACTTGCCTCCAAAAACAACCCAGAAACAGTCCACAGCATCTCATCAATTGCTACCCATCTATGAATGGATGCTTGCATATGTTCAAAAAACCATCTCCTTGGAGACATTTGAAGAGAAACTTATGAACTCCTTGTCGAAAGAGCATGAGAAAGGCATCAAACAGTTCATCGATGACATTCATGTGATTCCTCCTGGGAACGATAATGCCTCAAAGGATGCCCTAGATTTGTTCGTCAACCATGTCAAGGCAGTAGAAGCTAGAGCAGAGGCTGGACAGTTGCATAGCGAGCTTTCCTGATTTTGACCTTGTTGGGTTAGCAATGAAACTTTCCGGTCACAATTATCGTTCTTCTTACTGATGTATCAATATCATGGAACTTGGAAAAGATAGCTTGAAGTAATGATTGTAGTGGTGCTTTCTTGAATTTACTTGCAAAGGTCGCCCTGCATTAGAACAAGCGCACATGTCACAAAATTCAAATTCAGTCACACAGAAAATTGAACTCGGAAACCTACATATGAGCAAAACGCAAAGTTATGAACGAGTTCGAGCCAACGTAATATAAGACTTTGCAAAGTTATGATGCAAAACGCGACGATACACATACAATGCACTCAAACCGGTTTTTTGTCCAACTTATCTCACCATATCGATTGCAATGCAGACATCAAATGATGCCGTTGCACCCTGGCCATACTGGGCTTCATGTGCCTATTTGACATGTAAATTCCTGGTGTGCAAGTCCAGTGAAGTGGTACGTAAAACTTCAAGTAACTCGCGCAGCCTGGTGTTCAAGTCGCTGATGTGCTTACGCCTACGTCGGTCATTTACGAGACGCAAGTTCAAACGTTCTGCAAAAAGACATTCAGTCAATTTATGTCCGGATCCTGACTTGGGTCTCATAGGGATTCTCACATGTCCTTTTCCCACTAACACAAATGTTGATATTCGTTCCATTAAAGGTCACCGAGTGAACACACGACGATCTGAGCGACACTTCGAACATGAATCGATGTTATTGATGGTAATCATGTACAAATTCTATGTGCAGTAGCGAACAAAGCATGATAGCCTCAAGATGGTACGGTGAGTTATAATACAACGCATACTACACGACATCATGTAAATGCGAAGAGAAGGACAATCATTGATATCAAGTGCACAAGTTTTCATCGAGGGACATTCATTCTAAACACTGCCATTGGTAGGGAGGGCTTGGAACTAAGCGACCTGAACTTGTGGGAGGCTTCAGAAACACACAACAATATTTGAAATGGGGGTCAGTGCATAACATCCGGATACGATCAAAATCCACAAGAGAACGCCAATTCCGAAGAAGTAAACAACATGCTGAAAAGAGAGGGGCGAAACAAGACAAGATACCGTGCAAGAAAGGAAATATTTTCCTGGCCATTTAATTCAGCCTGAATATTCAGATCAGACTACCGACAGTCACGCGTCACACCGGCTGATGCCGGTGTCGTCTTGGTCACAGGTCACAATGAGGTATGTCGAAACAATGTCACAACATGATGAACGGAAGCGAAATGTGCCTTCGCTACCTCCTAATGTATCCAGACGACGTGTTTACTTCAATTACATGCAAAATACATATGATTACTTACTCTCCTTCGTCGCGGTGGCACCAAATTCAGTGTGAGTACAAGGTATTTTCTTTTTTCTTCCTTTTCCCTCGCCCTAACGCCACTTGGGTATCTGGCTCGCAATCAGCGTCCTTGACGGCCCCAATATCCACCACAAACTCCATGCTCTCCGCGTCAGCCTTCGATATCAGTCTCCCATTCAATTTTTCGACTCCTTGAACACTCGAAACATTGCCCAGCATATCGGCAATGACAGACGCACCATATGGCACGTTGGTGTCATCGGATGGGTCAGTACTGTCGGTCTCCGCAGCCTCGCCTAAGATTTCAGTATCATTCTCGTTTTCAGTCGGGGTGCTGTCCTTCGTCTCTTGGTGTGCATGACACATGAGTTCATCCCAAAACTGTGGATCATCAAATTTGAGGCTCCTCGACTTCTCTTGCACAGCGTAACTTGTCAGACTCTCTCGTATGATAAATTAAATGTGTGAACATGGCACATTTCAAATGCCTAACTTGTTTGTCTTGAGTACGTGGCAACCAAAGAGAATCATTTACTCACCTTTTTGACTATGTCAGATTTATTTACTGTCGTGAAAGCATCCCATAGCCAGGTCACACTGCGGTCTCGTAGGATGCCAATCCGCTTATCATTGCCATTTACTGATGACGTTAATTTTAATGTCAAATGATAATGAAAGTCAGAATCATCAGTGACATATTCACACTTTTGATAATACACCTTTCGGTGACACGCTGAATCCACATCTCTCGCAGGTTTACTTTGTGATGCATCATCGGTGGCTTGACGAACACCACGCCTTGATACCGCTCGATGATCAAGAGAGGGCAGATCAAAAGGCTCTGGCAAAACATGATTAGAACGATTTGGTCTGGAATGCTTCAAGAGTTTAAACACAATGGCATTGGGAATACGTACGCCGTCCGTCGAAGAAGATCACAGATATGATCCTTCCGATTCGCAGACAAAAGTGGCTGCATAGTATAAAAAAGGCTGTGGGATTCAGAATTAAGATGTATATGTGAGACTGGAGACACACAAGAGAGTTAGCGAGTTGAAGTTGAGTTGAAGCGTTAGCGGCAAGTGAGGGTTCACAAGTCGTCTCAGCCAATCAAAATAAGTCACGTGACGTGTGATATGTGACATTCGAAATGCTACAGCACTCCACTCCCTTTTTTATCCATTCCGAAATGCCTCCCCACAGATCCAAAAAAGCAAAACCTGGTGCGATTCTGAGCGGAATTTCACGCGCTGGCCCAGGGGAGGCAGATGTCGGGAACATGGTTCCACAGGGTGCATCCAACCTCTCCCGAAACTGCGGGGAGCTACTTCAATACCCATCCACAACCTTGTCCAACATGCTTGGAATATACTGCCACATGTGCTGTGACGTGATAGAACCTGGATTCCAACACCAGTGTAACAACTGCCACGCACTCGTCTGCGAACAGTTCGTTCCTCGGAGTAGCGGTTGCATTGTTTATGGTTCTGTAGTGTGTAGCAAGGAAGAGTTCTTGTGCCCTATTTGCGCAAGGACTGGAAAGAAGAAGGATTCCCCTTTGCCATACGTGTATGCTGGCTTTGGTAGACGAAAGAAAGTGAAGATGGAATGGCCGATGTGTCTTGTGAACCTCAATGTGGAGTCGTCGGAAGAAGACTACCTTGCAACCACCACCAAGGTTGAATTAATTAACCATTACAGGTCACAAAAATCAAACATCGGTGGGGCTGACATTCTTTTTGCGTGTAGTACTGAATATCCATTCTAGCTTTTCATTCGCACCTTGCCCATCACCCAGGGCGTACACACGTCCGAGTTCAAGAACCTTGCAGATGGGATAGAGCTCATTCATAAGGCCATAAAGGCTGGATGTCCGCCGAATTCTTTTGTCATAATTAACACTGACTTAGATGAGGTTACTAAAGGAAACGCTGTAGTCTTAGACATTGTTGCAAAATCCCTTGGGGAAGAGTTCCTGGAGTGCATGGGAGCAGCCTCTTCTGCTGCAAAGAGTGACGCCACCATCAACATTATGGCAACCGGGAAGAAGCCTTGGTGCGACCTTACTGCCAAGGCAAGGGGAGGACAGAGGGTTCTCCTCCTTGTCGGCAGTTATCCTGCCATCAGGTTCCATCATCACTTCGAATCACTTATGGTGCTGGTGAAGAAGTAAGGATCTCTTATGATGCGTAAATGGACCTCACTGACGGCATTTCAGTGAAAAGTTCAACTTTGTGCTTGGTTTCGGCGGTTCTGGCAGCTCCATATCTCAAATATCTCATACTGTGCGCTCCCTCATTGTAGAGACTGGAGTGTTCGGACAAACAGATCCCTGGTCTGCATTGAGGGACATCCTGACGTCAAACCATCAAGTTTTAGATCACACAACTGTAGTGGTGTTGTACACGACTACTGCTAGTGGCTCCCGACAAATCGAATGCCGTCAGATTGGGAAGGACACCCCTGCATCACGTGCCTTTGGCTACAAATTCAAGATGTGTGGAAAAGCTGGATGTGATCCAGGGCTAAAAGGCATACAGGTCTACAATCAGAAGGGAAAAGTCCGTGTTAGGTGTACACTATGCCACTGGAAGTCTGCATGGGCGAGGAACGATGAGGACAACGAGCACTTCAAGAGGGTGAACTCACTCACAGCGCCTCAAATATTTTGGCATCATTTCCCTCCCTCAAATGACCTCCAACAGTTCTTTGTTAAACTCAAGCAGCGTGAACCAGAAGGGACCAGCTGGAAGAAGGGTGGAGAGGCGAGGGGAAAGAAATGCAAGACTCCAACATCTCAGCTTCCAGAAGATGCACAGACACTGGACTTTGTCTCAGAATATTCGCTTACGATGGACATTGACGAATGATGTATATCTCCTCCATTGCCAATTGCACATTACCATTGTTATTAATTTGTGACATTGTAAACCAGAACTGAAACTCCACCCCAAGTTTGTACACGTCGGAATTTAGAGAAAAATTAGGTCGCTGTAGAACGTTGATGTGATTCATATTGTCACTCGAGCTTGTACGCTACATTCTTAATTCGCGGTGTATATGCCGATATCAGGAAGTGGACGGATTGTTTGAGTTTGTGTTAGGTTCGAACTTATCTAATAGGTAAATGGTGATACATATGTGGACATCTAAGCTATACACAACTCAGGTACTACGATGATACCTCTAAACATGAGAGAATACTAGTGCTGCGACAATCGCAGGCGGTCAAAGTAAAAAGTCCCGGACGTTCGTGATGGGCATGTTGTACCCACGCACCCGCAAGATATAACTCCTGAGATATACATATCCGAGTAATACATCTGTGGGACTAGTGCTGAATGTTTTGACTTCCAAGTCTGAGTAATACCTACAGCCTGAATGCTCTGCATGATTTTTCCAGGATTTCGATGTCATTGACTGCCAGATTTTCTACTTGGGCTTTGACTGCCAACAACCCTGCAACTGTGTTGCACTTGTAGTGAAAATCGGAGGCTATAGCAATAAGAATAATTTACATTCCCCGACTCCACAAATGTGGAAGAGGGTTCTGTCGGACGCAAATAATCAATCCTCTGCAAACGCACCCGTGGAAATATTTGAGTTAGCTTAGTCAGTGGGAAAAAGTTGTGAGCACTAGCCACCGCTGTCGACATTCTTTCGTTCCATTCCTACGGTGGAACGGGCACGGACTGCAAGGGAACCAAGGCCAGACCTCTATGGCGGGAGGCTACGGCTCTGTCTATCGAGGACAGACTACGACACACGCGAGGACTACCGACTACGAGCCAGGACTCCTGTCACCGCGCCAGGACCCCTGCCACTCCCGTCCTGTCCTGCCAGAGCGCCCTGCTACATATGCCACCCCTCCAAATGCAACCGTCCGCGGTTGCAAGACGAAAGATGAATGTGCGGGAGTGCGGAAACCTGCGCCAGACCACCACCCTGGTACACCTCCCCCCTCTCCAAATGCAACCGTCCGCGGTTGTACCACGAACGACGAATGTGTGGCCGCAGTCCGAAAATGACGAGAATGTGGCGGCTGAACGAGACGGAGAGGTTTTTGACACCGGCAAGTAGGACAATGTGGTGTACTAGTAGCATGGTGGGAAAAATGATATGGCGAGTTGTCGAAGAATGTTGGATAGCGTCTCAAGTGTGAGTGATGTGGGAGTACTGCAAATACTGTGTGAGGGAGTTGAACATGAGTCCGCAAACGACGACGCCGGTACTGAAGACTGGACCATGGGTTGCGACAGGAAGTGCGAAGGGCCGAAAAATCGCGCGAAGGTCGAGTCTGAGCAACTGTGTAGCACACATCATCTGCCCAAGTGGGCGGGGCAGTATGAAGGTTAGTGTTGGTGATTGGCGAAGACAGTAGATAGGATGGCAACAGTACAGACGAACTCCATGCCTTCAACTGCGCAATGTCAGTGTCTCGACGATTCCTATCTTCCAACTTCTCACGACTCCACTGGAGCTTGATGCTGGGAACTCGTAGCACATCTTCAACGAACTTGTCCCATGTTGAGTAACTGCATGTTAGGTGGTCCTTGAGGAGGTCGGGGATGCCCTCGAGCACATCCTCAATCAAATCTCCTTTTAAATCTCCCATACCCAAAGCAAGTTGCGAGATCTCAGTTGCCCATACAACATGCGCAAAGTTGCCGTTGGGCGCCAATGCTCCAATATCACCCTCTTTCAGTGCATGTGCAGCCACGCGCTCTCTCTGCTGCGCACGAGATAACTTGGGCAGTTTCAGAAGTGGCCACCGTTTGAAAAAAGCTATCGTGAGTGCCGCAAATGTGGCAGTTTGGACTGAGTTGAGTGACTGGAACCACTGGTCTGCCATTTGTCCGGGCACGAGTTGCATAGAGAAGCGCCGGACACGCTGAGTGTCGGTCCATGTTGTTGGAAGGGAGAGTTGGAATTCTGTGAACCACGTAGACGGTTCCTCATTGCCACTATAGTCACCATAGAAGAGCGGGACAGGTTCTATAGACATGAATTTGAAATTTGGGGACCAGAAACCAAGAGAAGTCGAAAAGTAGACCGGAGCAAAAAAATGTGAAAATGCGAAAACCAGGACTCAGATCTCAGATGTCAAGCACAGGGAGCGAAGACCACTCTCATCACCAGATGGAACGGGCACGGACTGCAAGGGAACCAAGGCCAGACCTCTATGGCGGGAGGCTATGGCTCTGTCTATCGAGGACAGACTATGACACACGCGAGGACTACCGACTACGAGCCAGGACTCCTGCCACCACGCCAGGACCCCTGCCACTCCTGTCCTGTCCTGCCAGAGCGCCCCGCTACAACGGTAGTCATTGACTGTGCACGAACAGGCGTGATAATCATATATGTAGGTTTATTTCCATCTCGACTCACTGTTTCATATAGCTCATGCATGTTTAGGGTATTTCTTACAAAGTTGCCCTGCCATTTGGCTCGCGTTCTTGATGAAGGACACTGTCCTCAGCCCCTGTGAAGCACTATCCTCGTTATTATGATGCCCTCTATTATCCACAATATCATCTTGCATTTTTTGAAACATCCTGTTGTTGTGTTGTGTTGTGTTGCGCAAGCTTTCCTCTCGTGAAGCTCTCTCTCTTGAGAAGTGCATGCCTTCGAGTTTGAGTGTGTTTCTCATCTATCATTTTGCGAGGAAGATCGAAGAAGGATCATGTGCGTGCTCGAAAGAAGGTTATCGCCGGCGACGGCGCCTAGTGAAATGCAAGTACACTCACAAATATTCAAACTCCGCTGAATTGGCAGCATGTTTAATTTGCCATTGTTTGTCATATTCATTTACTTATCACTAGGGTTCAGCATTGCCGAGTCTGACCTTGCTTGCCTGTATGGTCTCGGATTTTTCTCAAGTTGTCGTCACCTACCGCAGCTATGATCTCTTTCATTGTTAATTTATCCAGGGCAGAATTGAGCTGTTATAATGACATGGTTCAAACACTGTAAACTGGATACAGCCACATTCAACATTTATTGATATTTATTATTGTTTATTATTGGCAGTGATTTTGTCAGATGTGGCATATGACCTTGCAAGCAAGGTCTTTTAATTATTCCCACGACCGCTTCCCAACCGCGTAGCATACGCTTCCCTGTGTAGGGCGGTGTCTCCAGCTCATGCTGGACTTATGCTAGAGATGAAGCACCCCACTGCCCTGTACAGGGCAGGATGCTCTGGCTACAGTGCCCAGGGGGTGTCTTCCGCATTTACAGCCTAGCACACGCCTATCTTTATTGGAAGGTGGCTCTGGTTCATGCCGGATTCGTGCTAAGTTGGGGTGTCACAACCTACGTCCTGTACGGGACTCACTGTGTGTAGCCGGCGGGTATTTGCAGTATGAAAAGATGTGGAAACATGATCACGTTGCATCGGGTTGAACCCATGACAAGTCCAGTTTCTCGCACATCAGCTATGTACAGCTAACTCTATAACTATGAATTATCTAAATGACAACAAATTGACTTGATCAAATATATAGCTAAGTCCATCGGTTCAACCTTTGTTTCGCTCTGTTTTTTTGACACTCACCCTCCCCCTCTCGACAAAACACATGCGCTGATCAACATTGTTGTCCTTCAACTTCTCTATTCTGGTTTGGAATGAGGTATCCAATCAGCTACTGCCCATCCACAGTGTATCGTGGCAGCTCGCAAGAATGAGGCTGAAAAACAGGACCGATTACCTCCTCTCCAAATTACAGCCCCTGTCTGTAACACAGCCTCATTTGTTTAATGACATTATTCTCGAATCCCGAGGTCTTTTTCCGTTGGAAGGTTAACAGCATGCACCCGACCCGGAAAGTGCTAGCTGATGAATGCTTCAGGAGCAGGGATGAAGAGAGAGGCACCATGATTTTTCGATGAGACGTTGAGTTGGTATGTTGGGGAAGGCTTATGGAATGTGGTACCCTTACTGAAGGGTCATATATGTTTTATGCTAGCTGATGAATGCTTCAGGAGCAGGGATGAAGAGAGAGGCACCATGATTTTTCGATGAGACGTTGAGTTGGTATGTTGGGGAAGGCTTATGGAATGTGGTACCCTTACTGAAGGGTCATATATGTTTTATTAACATGTTCAGACGACGAGAAATTAGTGTGCCAAACACATTGAATTAACGCCTGGTATAAGTTGCTGCTGGATTTCTCGCAGCCGAAAACAAGGCACTCCATTTCATCTGTAAGTATCATCAAGTCTACACCCAGCGTTTCCTTGTAAGTCCCGGTGTAAGTGGCAGCTGATTTTTTTCTGCCAAACGCCAGGACAGGAAATCCACTTCTTCTACAAAGTCCATTTCTCCTTCAGTACGATTAAGTTCCAGATACTCACGTTTCAAAACCATTATTGATTCAACTTTGGTTGCAAAGTTCATTCCTTCACATACAGAGCTCAAGATACAAATATGGCAACATTCCCAGTTTTTACAGTTAAAACGGGTGTAAATTCAGCCTATGATACTAACGCTAGCAAATCTCCACGGCTCGAGCTGAGCACCTGTGAGAATTGTAATCAATCCACTGTAAGTCACGAACGTTCAGGCTGTTCGATGCTGATTTTAACCTAAATAACACTGGTGCTATACTTACGCAAGCTGCTATGACGGTCAAGATCCTACCTCTGCCACCTTCATTCTGGCAGTCAGTTCTCCACTCGATCCTGCAAACCAACGACTCTGCTATTACCAAGGCTTCAGCTGTTTCAGAAGCTAAATCGGTCAAGGCAGAAAGGATGCGTCCAGGAACCAAGGAAAATGGACGGTACGTGCACCGTTTACATTATTTTTTTATGCTCATTTTCCATTGTAGAAATTTGTGTGCGTTTTTTTTGCTCAGACAGATTACATAATACGAACGACACTACCGATGAATTTGGTGATTGCTTACTTCGATAAGCTAACACCAACTCAAGTTAAGGTATGTCGTTGGGTGTTCCATCACAAGCTCATACTTACTATATGCTCTCTAGAACTATAGCGACAATGCTAATACCTTGGTAATTTTGTAACCTCTTGTTCCGATGCTATGTAACTGACTCTCTGCACTAGTTGAAGAACAGTATGTGGAAAAGGATCGCTGTTTCCGAGGGGGTGATCTACTGGACCTGTTGTGTACATTTTTGCTTTTTGGCTACTGTCTCCAGGCTGATTTCTCCTCACTCGATGTGCTTTCAAGTTCTCCCCTGCTATCCTTACTGCACCCCCGCCATTTTCTTCACTGTTGGACGCTTCACCCGCTTCCTAATTGTTCTCTTCGATCGCGATGCTTCCCCTGTGGATGCCTGCCTCTTTGTTGCTCTTTGTATGATGTTTTGAATTCCTTTCCAATGTTGCTTCACACCTATTTTTGTAGCGTCTGCAAATAATACCAGCTATTGCATGGAGGTGTTTGCTGATGGGATGTTTTCTGGGAGCGTAGCGAGACGGAGTGCTGCTTGATGGCATATGCTCTGGAGTAGTAGTCCTGTTGGAAGAAGATTGGCGTGCGCATTGAGCGTGTCAGTGGCTGTAGTTCTCATAGCTCCAGTAGTACTTAGCGCGGCAGTTCGTGGGACTTTAGCTTGACGTCAACTTGACGTTCGGCAGTTCCTATGGATCCTCTTTGCAGTGGGTCCGCGCTTTCATGGTGAATTGTTCTGAACCACACATCTGCTCCATAGGTGTACTTCGGGATGGCCACTGTTATGTAGAGCTTGCGCATCAGTTTGACTGAGACTCCGTCTGTTGGTCTGGAGAGTAGTCTGAGCTGAAGTACACATTCGGTTCCCTTAGCAATGGCGTGAGCGACGATGTGCCCGACTTGTCTGACACATGTGGGATTAAAGTTTGTTTGTGCCTGTATTATATTTGCTTTTGTTTGGTCGCGGTTGATTTTGGTTGTTTCTCTTCTCTTTTCTCCATCTATCCAAACTGCCTAGCGTGTGCGCCTTGCCGTGCTTCTTGTTTATTCAAGAGTCGCGCTAGGTGGTGTGGCACCCCCTCTGTCCTTAAAATTACAGGCAGAGCATTCTTGGGCTGTAATTCCTGGGAGGGGTCGCTGATGGAACTGGATTTACCCAAAGCTTATTCTGCCACGCTGGCACCAACTTGTGACAACCTCACTTTCTTGAACTTTCTATCTTGCTTGCATGCCGCCATCTGGCATATCGATTGAGTGTATCATGTTTGTCTTCTGTGGCTTTGTGCAACGGTGTGTTCTTTTTGTCTTTTTCTGTCCTTCTAACATATTTCTCAACTTGGAGGGCGGAGCCTCCGCTGTTTTGTCTTACTCTACAGGACCTCCTCTGTCTGTCTTGTAGCCTTGCCTACTGCGTCCGCCCAGCATACGACCGACGTGTTCCACTTGTTTTTTTCCCTTTTTTTCCAACCGCCTAGAATGTTCCTCCCTGTTTTGGGAAGAAATCAGGCGCATGCTGAAGTCATCCTGCGCATTCCTACATGCCGTTCTTCCCTGTACAGGGCATAGGCTGGGATGCTCATGTCATGTTTTTCCTTTTGCGACCCTCCAGAGTCCGGACGTTTTCGTCCCCACTCTAGTCCTAATCGGGAATCCCTCCAGGTCACGTGCCTTTCCCAGTCCCTCGTCCCATTTCCCATTTTCGTTTTGGTCTTCGAATTTTCCCCAAGTCCCACGTTCGGTCTTGTTTGTTTGTTTTGCTTGCTTTTGTTTTGTTTTTTTCTCTCTTAAAAAGGCAGCTGCGGACCGCAGTTCGTTCGTTTTCTCGTCTCACTTTCAACCTTCTTTTCAAGTTTCCGTCGTGGGTGCCAGACAATGTTACACTTCCCCCCTTGTTTTCAATCGGGGTCGTGCTCAGAGTCCGTGCCCCTTGCATCATGCGCCACAGAGAATAAATGTTTGAACGTTTGCTCAACTGTTGACGCCACTCTTTCACCGTCTGCACTCATTGCTGACGTGGTTTAGAGGTATGTTAACTTGTGTCTGCCCCTTGTCGCCTTTCTGAGCATGCGTTGCTTAAGCCCGTCGCCCCAACCCTTACTCTTCTCACCGCTCATTCCTCGTCTTACTCTGCATGGCCCGTTAAACTTATGCCAGAGGGGGAATAGCGCAGTCAATTCAATTCCTCAAGCCTGTTTTTGATGCATTCATACAACCTGGTTAGCCGTACGTATTATTTCATTTGACTGGTAAAGGTTTTTGATTCATGCTGTATACAGGCAAACTGCTTATCATCGCATGCTTTCTTACGTTTCTTCCTCTTGCCCTCAGAGTCAATCTGCAGCGATCGATGCCACGGCCTTAGCATTGCCACCTTGTTCAAGTTTGACACCGTTGTCTCTGAAAGATCATGAGACTTTCTTGCTTCTGCAGGTGTTTTTGAATAGATAGTGGTCTACTAGAATTACATTCATGGCTCGATAGCCATCCCACCGCTCTCAAAAGATATGGTAAGTCAGTTCATTATTGTTGATGCCACACATTTGAACCATTCACAGGACTGCAGAACTCGACCGAGCACAGCTTGAGCGGAAGATGGTTTCACTCAACGTCTGGCATGACCTTCCCATTTTCAGAGGTCGCGTCAATCCTGCAGCAGCAGATTGGATTGAGAGGTGGGCGATCGATGGTATGTCCTCTCGGCATACTGTTGTTTATAATAATATTTGAATAGTGATCCATACCAGTCTTCTTTCAGCAAAGCTGTTGTAGAACACTCAATCTCTACACGTTTACTGTTCGTCAGCGTGCACGTTTCAGTGAGAGCAATGGGAGCCACTGGAAAAGCATCTTTGTGCGTGGAAGGAGGTCCTAGCAAATGTACTAGAGGTCGGTACTGGTGCACAAATGTGCGGTAACAGTTCGGCTGCGGGTGAAGTCATGCTGCAGGTCACACAGAAAGGTGAGAGTGTTCACATTTATGCCGCGTATCCTACATCAGGGTTTCTTCAATGAATCAAGGTCATGTTTGCTGACTGCAATGGGAACGCCGGTGAAGTTTGTTGTCGTTCATTTGAACATCACTTCGACTTTAGTGCTGAATGTTCAGAACTCTCTGCTTACCAAGACGAGTCTGGACACTATCAACGCAGCCCGGGGGTGCAGCCAACGTATCAAGCGACCCCTGTAATATATATACCCTTTTTTACCGTTGACATTCATGCAATCACTTGTCACTACTGACTGGTGGTGATTTGCTTGGGAGTGCTGCTACATATCATGCAGTATACAGATTCAATGTTTAAGATCTCAAGACCAATCAGGCAGTCGGGGATCCACTCCTGCATGATGACGAACTCTTTGCTATTGTCATTTACCCTCATGGAAAATACATTGCCAATGCTGGACTAGATAAAAAAAATCTACGTATGGAATAAAAGCATGGTCGAAGCGAGCATGAAGTTTTACCAGCCTGAGTGTACCAGTGTGGTGACCCACACGCTCCCACATAGAATATCGGAACTTGGTACATGAATTGTTCGTCGCTGTTGGAGGTTTATGAGAGCTTCTGCATTAAGGTAACTGTCTCTTCTGGTAATCACATTCGCATCCGCGAAGCGGTTGGGACAATCATCACTAGCCACATGTCAGTTTCCGAAAATATTGATGTCTCAACGCTTCATCTGTATTGCTGTGCTAATCGTGCTCCACGACGTCAACGAAAACATATGTACAACTCTTGAGGGTACTTCTAGCACTCTGTTTGCTCAAGCCCTGCAGAAGCCACAAAACCCCACCACTCAGTGATGGCCCGGAATAAGGAATTGAGAAGCAGACAGAGGTTGTGCATGTTATGGTGTAAAGATAGATATCAGGGGGAGACCGTTGCGGCTGGCTTTGGGATATTTGGCGCCATCAAGGTATTGTCACACTGTGCTTTTATGGTGTCGCTCACTCTGAATCACAGATTGTACAATCATCTCACTCGAATCGACCTATGACTTCTTATTTTAGACCCATCTCCTTTGCTGGCAGTGTTGCCCGCTGAAGCAGAAACCTCACTTGCAAGCGACGGAGATGCACTAACACCATTTGCAATCATGTCGGTGGCCATGGATGCCTTCGTATGTGCTATCGTATCAACTTATAGCTACTGGAGCTCGCAATGGACATGTCAGGATATGGTGAAATAAGCCCGTGGAGAACCTTAAGTCGAAGGACAAGACAGCGACCCTAAATGCCTGCAGATGCAGTAGCAGACTAACGAAGCAACGGCTCGTGGGGGCTCAGTACGTAGCTTTATGAGGATCACTTAGTTCCCTTCACACTGATATTGACGCATCCTTCGTCTAGCACCGGCCCCGTAGCAAAATCCATCGGTTTCTGGGGGGTCAAGGACAGTGTTAAAGACGGTGTGAACAAGTTTTAGAACCTCTGTGAGTCTGAGTCTATGAGCATGCGCAATGAGTATCCTGGAAGACAACTAAGATGGCGCTCGAAGGATCCCTGCACCCGTAGCACTGTTCCTCCGAATGTCTATAATCAATGTGCTTCATTGACCCCGAATCTCGAGGTAGGTTCTCAAACTTGCCCTTCAGTCTCCGTGTTCTCTCTAAATTCTGGTGGTTACATAGGCTCAGGCTGCTCCGCCTGTTGTGGAAGTGGAGGCTGATACCCAATTGGCACTTTGGGATGCACAACAGGCTGCAAGATGCATGCATCCACTTTCGGGACCTGCGATAACTGTGGCGTCTGTTGGCCAAGATACACAAGCAGATCTTGATGCTGCCGATGGTTACCAGGACGCATATCTCGAACCCCTCAGGATATTCGACGCTGTCATTGGAGAGATCGTGAATGTATGGACCCTCTGAATCAGAACCGTGTTAATCTAGTTTCACAGGTACATCCATATGCAAAGATGGCACTGGGCGCGTTGTCATGCACTGCCAAAGTATGTCTTCTATTTGTGTTAGATATGTTCCACCATCCGCACCCCGTAGACATCCCTGTCGCTATAATCAGGATAGCTGTCGTCTCACCCATCTTCTCCACCTCTCCACACATTCACATGTGCACAGGACCAAGCTGTCAAAGCCACCGAGGCGCATGCACTGGAAGCTGAAGTTGCCCGGCTGTGTATGATGAAGGTGTGCGTAATTACGAGGAGTGGTACATGGCGTGTTATTTATGTAGCTTGGTATTTGGCAAGTGCACGATGCTGATTGAGGTGCAGTGAAATAGGATTTGCAGTGCCAAGTTGCACTATATAGGGACCAATTGTGTGACCTCCGACTTTCAAATGAATCAAATCAGGCGAAGCTTTTTGATCACAGCCAGCGTCAGGTGAGTTGGTACTACTTTCCTTCCTCCACTTCCTTCTTTCTGCTTCATTATTGTACCCTTTGTCTTGCATGCTGACACTTCTATTCATGCCAAGAGATCATTTCCTGTCTTGCAGAAGCTGACATGATCATGGTCGACCTGGAATGCACGAATAGCAGAGTCGCGACTAGCAGAGTTGCGACCATTGAGTTGCGAAATGTAAGTTTTGTCTGCTTCAATCCCTTGTTCATCAATTCGCTGTTGTTCCATACCATTTGTCTTGCATGGAGATTTAGCTACCATACAATGTCAGATATTCTATCCTATGGGTTAACATATAGCCACCTTGTTTCTATGCACACATTTTACCCTTCCTTCCTGTTACCGCGCCCTCTCCATATCTTAAATCCTTTTGAAATGCAATTGATACTGACTTCTCCCACAGGAAGCACTCCATGGAGAGATCAAGACATTGCGCACTGGCAGCGAAAGCAGTGAGCGGTACATCTATTTCTCACCTTTCCTTCCACTTCAGCCTCCGCCTACTGGTATTCTTTCTGTGTACTTTTCTTATACTTATGTGTACACGTATCAACAGCGTCAGATCTCTAACATAGCTCTGTAATACCTCTGATACCTTCCTGCAACTCTGCAATCCCAGCCTTTTCTGCGATAGAACTATAGGTCTCAAACTCATTGAGCACGAGAACCACGTGTCTGTAGCGGCTGGTCGTGAGGGTGCTTCTGAGCCTCAGGCCAAGCTCACCTTGTCTACCCAAGCATTGACACGCGGTGGAAGGGCCTCCCGAGCAAATTTGGGAAGGGGAAGGAGATGGCATGACGTGAGCGCAGTCTTGTCATGTTGAAGAGCTGATTATAATGACGAGAGCTGATCATAGAATTCGGGACGAGCGGTATAAAAGGCTGGGCTCATAGGACACGGTTTTTCGCGTTGGCGTTGGGAGTAATCGAAGTGGTCGAAGGAAGCAGGGGGAAAAAACGGCCTTGTGGTCTGTGTTGAGTAAAGTCGAAAGTTAGTGCCCTTGTTGTTTTCTTGTCCAGATATAGACGTGTCTTCCGGTCCTCTGAAGCGTGCTTCACTCATACCACCCCATAGAAACGGACTCTGCATTCCCAGCGACGTTCCGACGACACGTTGAAGACATCCTTGTGGAGACGAAGGCGACATACTATTTTCAGATATTCAGCGCTGTTATAACCTCATCGAAATCGCTGATCGGAGCTTTGATCAACCATGTAGATTGTTCCCATCATCTCGATTGCCTTCTACATGGTCTTTATCCGCGTCGCAATCAGCAAGAATATCCACGAATGCCTCTCAGCTACTCTTTGTTGAGGGACAAATGAATCAGACCGAAGAATCTCTTCGAGATGCCCTGTGCAGCCTTCGATGCAGATTGGAATGACCGACAGCCCAGAAATAGATGCAACCTTATAGTCTAAGAATTTCTTCGAACAGTATCTCTTTATCCTCCCGCTTGAGGACGGCGGTCACTTTACTCTGAGGAACACCTATCTATCTGCTTCTACATCTCCACCCCTGTAAGCGTCACCCCGTCACCCTCTCCGCAAAAGGAAGTCCATCACGTAAGTGGCTGTCCGTCACCCTCCCTTTTTCTTCCCATCTGCCATTTTTTTCCCTTTGCGCTGTCAGCGTCCCCCCTTCTTTTTCCCATGAGGTGTGGTAAGTGGCTGTCCATCACACTTCTTTTTTTTCCCATCCGCCATTATTTTCCCTTGGCACTGTCAGCTCCAGCTTTTCTTTGTCCCATGCATTGTTTTTCCTTTTCTGGGCGCGGTCCTGTCCGCTTTCAGGCGTCACCTTCCTGTCTTTATGGTTTCAGGCGTCACCTTTTCCCGTCACCTTCTTCCATTTAGGGTCTCAGGCGTCACCTTTCACGTCACCTTCTTCCATTTAGGGTCTCAGGCGTCACCTTTCGCGTCACCTTCTTCCATTTAGGGTCTCAGGCGTCACCTTCTTCCATTTAGGGCTTCAGGCGTCACCTTCGTCTCTTTAGGCGTACAGGCATCACCTTCTTCCATTTAGGGTTTTAAGCGTCACCTTTTCCCATCACCTTCCTCCATTTAGGGTTTCAGGCGTCACCCTTTCGCGTCACCCTCTTCCATTTAGGGCTTCAGGCGTCACCTTCGTCTCCCTTTCATTCTCCTTGTCCCATAACCATTCCTAGTGCAATTCAACATCCACAATTTTTTGTATTTAGATAGGGAGAATGTCCAGGAGAAAACATTTATGCAATGCTGAAATCAAATCTCATTTCTGGAACAGACAAGCAAGCTGAACTTGAAGTTTTAGACGACGAACATCAAATTTTGCTCCGTCTGAAGAAAAAACAGTGTTAACAAACATTATTCCATGGAATCAACCTATACACGCCCTTTAGAATAGTACTTCGCTCATTATCCAAAGAGAAATCACTACAGCTTCTATGAGCATCAGGGAAGAGCCTGTCCCAAAAAACAATCAATGTTGCAGGTGACATTAAAGCTTTGTCCAGAATGTCCAGCACAAATGACGAACTTTGTCCCACATCGGATGCATCTTATGGTGTATTTATTACCCTTCATATGTCTTAAAAATCCATCATTATTCTCATGTGCGTCCGTTGCAAGACACAGATTACATATGTTGCATGAAATAGAATGATGTCGTTTTGGAATGTCCATCACGCATGACACAGGGACCGCTGGGTGTCGAACAAGATATGTCTGGAACCTTTGAGTATGTTCATAGACACATTTAACTCTGAAATTGTGTGATGTCCATCACTGCATTGTCATCGAGCTTACATTTTGTGCCCCAGTGCTGGATAACCCAAGGTTTTTTGTTGACCACTTACCAGAACGAGCTCACATGCGCCGTTGATGTCTAATCCAGTGCTTTTCCCCCTGACCTCAACGCTCTTAGGTTTCAGCACGTCATCGCTTCCACCCTCGGTCATGCGCATCACATGTGGATACCCTTAGTATTTCGCCTCATGCACTCCAATACCCATGAGACATCGTTCTGAGCTTGCTCTTTCCACTGGATTCTAAAACGACTCTCTTAAGGTCAAGCGATGAAGATGTAGTGCTCCACGCGCGTCCCTCGGCATTCATAGATGTTTTGTATACCAAGGGCTAACATGTACGTCATCTTTGTCCTCCTTGAACATTAAAACCCCATCTCATATCACGCTATAGATGAACGCATCATCAAGAGCAAAACGGATTAACATTATGCCATTAAAACGTGGGAATCCTAGGGCAAGCACCGCATGCCCTCCCAATAGCAACACCACACAACTCTTTAGTGGTGCGGCTCAAGCCCGATACACCACTGATACAAATTCGCACACAAATCCTCATGCAATGTTCAAAGAACACTGGATGATGGACTCGCCTCTGGCTGTTTTTCTCTCCAGAGTATACCTGTATTGTATACTGTCCGTGTTCTTGTTCTGTCCGAAGAAGATCCCTCCCATTTCATCCCTCCAGTACATACAATAGAAATCACTTTACATATAACGGTTGATTCTAATTTTTGACCCATGAAAGCTGACCTTTTCCTTCCTCATGTGAGCCACTAGAAACAATGTTTGCATATCATATTGGTGAATTTGGCATTTTGAATGATGTGGACATATAAATGTCCGTCACAGATCTCATGTAAAGCAGGCCCAGATGTTAGTGAAATGGAGATGCCTTCACTAGTTGTCCACCAGTGTTCGTCCATTTTCGGTGGTCAAGCAAATAGCTCATCAATGCATGCACGCAAAAAGTAATGTTTTGACTGATGGATTGATTCACATCGTAGATACAATGCCTGCCATTTAGTTTTATGCAAATCTAAATGTTGAGTCCAGTGGAGAGTTACGGTGCATGAGAGTCTGTTGTCCCAGGTGTTCACCCACTCATCTGACCGTCCATCACACTATGTCACACCCAGCCGCCATGCCGTTTTCATACTCCGGTCGACGAATGGGTCAACGATGCATGCTTGTAGTGATTTAGACTTCAAATTGACTTGATGCCTTATTTCGGCATCTCGTAATTTCAATTTGTGTGTTCAAAATCGAATGTTTTGGACGGGCTGTCACGTCTGATTTTTCGCAAGGGTTTTCACTCAGAAAATAGGCCTGCAGTAATTTATTTTACTATTACCTGGTCATGTAGAGCCACCATATCAAATTTCAGAGTTTTCCGGAATGATCTCACTGTTAGAGAGAGCATTCCATGCACAAAAGTAGGGTTGAGCGCCATAAATTTGGTCATGGCATGGGAACATGTTCATGTTCTTTTCTGAATATATATATATGGTAGTGTCCGCTATTTTTGGGAGAGTCTACGTGTAACATAGATAAGTATTTAACGAAGAAATGCGTGTGATGGAGTCAATGGATGAACACTTGGGATGGACGAACCCATGGGGACATCTAGTATTGCTAATATACTGAGATATTTGAGTCATGATTGCATAATGTTTAATATGTTGGTGAGTGTCCCCCTATACAAATTGAGGAAGTCGCTCCTCCATTGCCTCATCCACAACCTAAGGTTGTCCATCCTATTGGTACTCAAGTATCACTCATGGTCACTATGTCCAGGACTAAGTGTGCGGTCAATGGATGCAGCTCGACCATGGGACATCTTTGTGTCCATGCTCTTCAAATCACAGTCTTATTAACACCAAATGAACACTGATTTTTTTGATTTATTTCCATTGTTGGTCACGATATTACCTGTCTCACACACCTCACCCCCATTTATTACTTTGCTGTAGTTTTGTGTTGATTGCTGAATTGTAGGCTTGGCCTGAATCCTGAACTTGAATGGCTTGCCACACAAAGGCCGACCCATTCTTCTGTTTCATCCTTACTCGTGCTGACCTCTCCATGACAATAGAATGTATGTAACACACAGCATTCTCATGGTAATTTTGATATTTTATGTAGATCTATGACTTCTTGAACTCATACCTTACGTGCAACCAAACATATCCTAACCAAGCTTCATTTGAAAATCATCATTTGTCCAGAAAATTCCAGAACATGTCAACATGTTCTTGAACATATTTTTGTGGACATTCATGCTGTTGTGCTACACCTATGATTAAACCACATCTCCAACATTTCTTTTCTTCACAAATTTATCTTTCTGAAATAGAGAATACAGTATGTGAATTACTGTCTGAGACAGATATACATCTGTATGGTAAAGCTCTCCCACAGTTAGGTGAAACACATACCGAGGAAAGTACATGGACAGTTTAATATTCCTTAGCATGGTTGAGAGCCCATGTCTGTTAGGTTGCTAACCCTATTTGAAATGAACACATGTTCAAGTATGGATTTATTACTGAGTCGGTGAAGTGTAACTAAGAATTGAGAGGTTTATATGATAAAAATACAAATGTCTCAGGATAATTGTCCTCACTTGTCTCATTGGGGTGCAGACAACCCAGGATATAGCTTGGTACAGATATGCGTAAAACTTTGACTTTCTCATCTATCCTGCATTGGAAAATTCCAGGTAGTCTGGGACTAACCCAAATTCATTACACACCTATAAAATACACTTCACATCATTTACTTAGCCATCTGAAAA